TTGTGGAATATGTTTGTATAACAGCACTGTATTCTTATCAATGAAGCTGAATAAAGAGAAATATTTACTGTACATAGCAGCTTGCTATCTAAAATGTAATACTTAGTCTTGATTTACAATGACATTACCTAAAGTGGACATGTTTAATTCACTGGAAATGTTAGGTATGATTTAAACTATATTTAATAATGTTTACTGCGTGAAGGCAAAGATATAAATTTTTATATTTAATACCACTTAAATCATAGTGTTTTTGGTGATCTGGAACTTACCCACTAATTGTGAAGTTTTGAAAGCTATCTGCTGTCTGTCAGTCGAGTAACTTACAGTACAATAGCAATAGAATCAGAATTGTTAGTGTCAGATATAGTCTTTAATCCCTAGAACTGTAAAATGTTAATTTTTAATACAAACTGCCTTGTTTTGTTTTAAATGCTGTGGGGTTTTTCCCCACAAGTGTAACTCTTTAATCGTGGTAAACTATAGGTGGTTCATACCTTAATTCCTGTCATTACAAAATGAACAGAAAAAATTATCCTGTGCGGTATTGTTTTTGTAGCTGTACACGTGTTTCTCCATTGCTAATAGTCGTGCATCTTTTATGCCTTAATAAAGAGGGTTGTATAACTTAAACAAATGATGACATTAACCTCTGTAGTTTTGCTTATACATTCCAGTGTTTAGATGCATGTTATGTACCAGTTCCGACTTACATACAAATTCAACTTAAGAACAAACCTACAGTCCCTATCTTGTACGTAACCCGGGGACTGCCTGTACTTAGTCTTGATTTACAATGATATTACCTAAAGTGGACATGTTTAATTCACTGGAAATGTTAGGTATGATTTAAACTATATTTAATAATGTTTACTGCGTGAAGGCAAAGATATAAATTTTTATATTTAATACCACTTAAATCATAGTGTTTTTGGTGATCTGGAACTTACCCACTAATTGTGAAGTTTTGAAAGCTATCTGCTGTCTGTCAGTCGAGTAACTTACAGTACAATAGCAATAGAATCAGAATTGTTAGTGTCAGATATAGTCTTTAATCCCTAGAACTGTAAAATGTTAATTTTTAATACAAACTGCCTTGTTTTGTTTTAAATGCTGTGGGGTTTTTCCCCACAAGTGTAACTCTTTAATCGTGGTAAACTATAGGTGGTTCATACCTTAATTCCTGTCATTACAAAATGAACAGAAAAAATTATCCTGTGCGGTATTGTTTTTGTAGCTGTACACGTGTTTCTCCATTGCTAATAGTCGTGCATCTTTTATGCCTTAATAAAGAGGGTTGTATAACTTAAACAAATGATGACATTAACCTCTGTAGTTTTGCTTATACATTCCAGTGTTTAGATGCATGTGTCTGCAGTGCAGCGGGCTGACCCATTTTTCCCATTATCCTATGTAACTTCATTCTTATTGATATTTTTTCCTATATCACAGCCATATTTCAAAAACAGTGGGTAGTAGAAAGCTTAACTCCTATATGCCCATAGAGTGTGATTTTTCAAAAGTGATTAAGTTAGGAGTTTTGATAGTGCCAACTAATCAAACTAGATACTTGTAGAATCATTCTGGTTATTTATCAGAGTACACAGTGATTAAAAATCTTTGATTAACCAAGAGAGGTTAGAACACAGGAAATTTCAAAATTGAAAGGTGAGTGCAGTTGTGTGTCTTCTTGGACAACTTCTTTGTGCTCTTACATGAAGAGACCATTCCCTCCCAGAGTAACGTGAGTTTTTAGAAAAAGCAAAGTTTTATTGTCAGATGGAATCTGTGGTTACTAAAGAGGCAGAACATGTGGGCCCAAGAACCACACACTTTTTTCATAACTGTTGCTCTCCCCAATTAATTTTTCTTCTATCTGATCATGGAAATCTCACAGATTTCCCCTAATTTAATTATGAGGTTGAAATGGGGTTTTTAAGTGGTTTAGAACAAGGGACTGAAATGATTTAATGTTTCTAAAGTAGAAAACTGCTTTGCAGTTTGAAAATATAACCAGCGTGTTGAAACTAATGGAGAGAATTAGAATGCAATGTCCCACTGATCAACCCAAGGAACAAGAGAAAACTTAAACAGCTAATAGTTCTGCTGCTCCTTAGAGACTAACACAAAATGTGAATTGCATCATGAGCTTTGTGGGCACAACCTATATCTTGTTCCTTGTTTCATCTGAAGAAGTTTTCTCCTAAAAACTAAAAATTCCATTCTAGATCTCGTTATATGTGCAGAGGAATGTCTTTGCAGATGATAGACAATTTGAGAATGCAGGAATGATCACTTCCAAGTTCCTGGTTCCATAGACAATTGACCGGCAAAGAAGGAAGTAGAGTAAATCTATTTTAATTCACTTTTTGGAGACAGTAATTCAGTTATATAATGAATATTCAGATTTCGATTTTTGTAGGTTTGCTCTGCAACAGTGGCATAGCCAGGATGGGACAAGTGGGTAGGCCCTAACGTTAGGTGAGCAGGCAGTGATGGGGCCACTTTTACCCCCCC